AGAGTACGTGCTATTGGCTGTCTCTCAACGGCGACGTACATGCTAGGATATGTGCCCCAATGGTTCCGGCAGCGTGCCGACGATATTCGCGAGCGACAAAGGTGCTATTATCGACATCAAGTAGAAATCCCAAACACAAGTCTGTTGCCAGACGCCGTTATGCGCTGTGCGGTTGGAATTGACGTGGGTATTGTTCTATTTCTGATTAAGGACAATACGCGCGACTTTGGAGCCGCGCTGGGTGGGAAGCAAAGCAACAGGCATCCGAGCCTACAGGCTACACCAAACCACCGGGGGGCGTGGGACGCAGTAAAGTTTTCTTGATAACAATCTATTAGAGTGGCATCGACCAAAGGCAAAGCCGCAGTCAAGTTAGCATGCCACGCGGGAAGCGGGCGAGGGAGGGCAAGGAACCGGAAAGGTAACAAGAACGATAAACAGATTGGCAATGTCAAAAACAACCTAATTCTACGAACAGCAGGCACAGACGGTTGGTTATTGGCAAAAAGGAAGGGGAAAAGGTGCATTGGTCAACGACGGCGAGAAAGCTTGAACCTCCAGAGAGTGAGTGCTTGAGCCAATCTTTGATTGTACCCGCCGCACACCACATCACGCTCCTTCTACTAGCATCCGACGTGTAGTTAATGAGTTGTGACAATATGCCTGTGTCACTACCTAGTACCTCGAGGACACGATGAACTCTTCGCACACTACCTAAGCACCGGATGGAGTATGGACTGAAGCTGGGGGGGGCGGGGTCCATCAACCTAGCCCCGTCCTGTCTCAGTCCGGCGCCCGGCGCAGTCGGGACAAACGCCAGAGACTGCGGGACGAAACCAGGACGAAAGTGGAATTCTCGAGATGGGAGCTGACTTTGCATTGCCCGGCTTTGTCTTTCGGCTTTGTCCCTGACGCGCTTCGGAATTGGGGTGAAAGAGCCCGTCTGCCGACATAGACGTGGTTGGCGGAGGCAGTCCTCGATTACGAAAGACTAAGATGTCACCAGCAGGCACGCACATACGGATACCTACATACGTACCCCTTGTGGCCTCGATGGTCCTCATACGGTCTACCGTCTACCCAAGTCAAGGTAGTGTTGGAACAACGTGGAATAGTTTTACAGATGAAGTTATCTTCGCAATCGGGATCACTCCGTCACACCTACGTATCCACTGTTTACTGCTACTATGCAAGAATACCTAGGCTATGTTGGGCCAAAGCGTTTTCGATGGTGCTCGCCTCACCTAAAAGAAGTTCGTCTCGATGGTCGATGATGCCTCATCTTACGTGTTGCTCACTGGTCCTTACGCACTCCTCCTTTCCCTTCTTCTTAATCCCCTCTCGCTTTCCATTCTAGTGTCATCACTTCATCCACAACCGAGCGTCTTGAGGCGCAAAGTGTGGTATGACTGACGCGGCAGTTGCATTGATAGCCCTATTCGTACTTGGAGGGGGCATCAATCAGCCTCGCTCGCATCATACCCTGCAATGGTTATGTTCTTTTGCTGAACCCTTCACTTCGGCGTAGCCTAGCCTCGCCTTGGACGAAATGAGATAATTGTCAACGGGCAGGTAGGGGACCAGGTGCCGTAGCCAAGAGGCTGGTTGTCGCCATGGATGCGTCGAGATGAAATATAGCGGCCCCTTGACCCTTGTCTTTTGACCTTACTTAACATTCTTCCTCAACTTTTCAGCGCAGGCGTCAAATCTGCTTCTCTCCTCTGCATTTACAAAATAGCCTCTGATTGCTGTCTGCTGCCCCTCCGATACAATATATATATCTTGTCTTTTCATGAGGCCGTATGAGCGCTCTGTTGTTGACGACAGCCACACCGAAGTTGATATCCCTGGGTAATTCGCTACTTCTGGCGCATCTGGTGGCCTGTGTGCGCGAAGTAGCGATCTTCTACATGTTCGGCGCAGACATGTTCCTTGTCTCAAGTTAGTCTCTCAAGCGGCACGCAAAGCAAGACAAGGAAGCTTGGAATTGGACGACGGGCTGGCTTTGTTTTCTTCTGTTTCCCTCCTTGTTTTCTTCAACATTTTGGCTCCCGAGCCCGCCGCCTGTGCTCTCCCTGCGCTGCCTTTCCCTTCCCGTAACCTTCTGTTCCTCTTGCCACGGGCCCCCCCACCGCTGCCGCCTTCTACCGGCTCGACCGTGCCCTCTTCTTGGCCGGCGGGTCACGAGAGGTTCCATCCAGTGTTGTAGCAGAAGGTCAGGCAGCCAAGGCATGGTGCAAGGGTCAGCCGTTGGGTATCTGTAGACGTTACGGTATCAGAGGTATCAGAGTGTCAGTGTCGAGGGTCCTTTTGTATTGGAAGGGATGGATGCCACCAGCGATGGCATGTCGGACGCCATGCTTTACCTGACGGTTCAAGCCTCTTGGCCCATTGCAATTCACCTTATACAGTCCTCCACGATAAGGCAGGATACCTACGTGAGGCATGGAGTGGAAGTAGTGTAGAGAGGCAGTCTGCCGAAAAAGCACTAGCAGGCACGTGCATGCTTTCATCTCTCCCTTGAGTGGGTTGGCTGGACTCGGGGCCCAGATGTCTTAATTCTCCAGTCAAGGCAACCTACCTACCCTAAGGACAATGTATCCGTAATGAAGAGTGGAAACTTGGAAGGTGACGGGAACTGCAAGGGGGGCAACGGGGGAGAACGAATCCAAGAACAGTTCTTTCCTTCCTATTGTCAAATTGACGATACGTCCTCATGCTTGTACTCCGTACCTTACCTTAGGTACCTTACTCTGTGACTCTGTGCCTTCCTTTCGCTTGGTGGGGCGTGCGCCTCGTCCCGAAGAGGTCTTTTTCATCACCTCTTGCGACTTCCATACCTACCTTACTGCGTATATACAGATCCCCAAAGCAAGAAGATTCGACATGAATGGCAGCCAGTAATTGCCAATGGCATGACAGATGCCGCACCACCTGCGCATCCATCTATTACGTTTCAACCATCTGGTGTGGTTGTCGATGCACGCCTCTTCCCTCTTCCTGATACCTCTGGCCGTGCCCATCTTCCACCCCCATCGCCGCCTTTTCCCTCTTGCATCTTCATCTCTATGCCCCCTCTTCTCACCTTTTCCTTTTCACTCCCACCCGACCGTTTAACGCCTATCCCATCCCATCCTGTCCATCCGACCTTATCCTATCTAGCTCATAGTTGCCTTTCCTGTCTATCCATCCTGTTTCTTGCCCTTCAATCCAACCGTTCATTGCCGTCTTTGTCCTCGTCCTCGTCCATGTCGACCAGTTTGCTCCCCGATTTTGATGAATCAATCCGAGCACAAACTGGGCGCTGATACCTCGCCGACACTGGACGCTCGGTGGTTTACTGCTCCCATCAACTTGCAGGTGCTCAGCACCGCATGGCCTCGCAAGGCCTTCAAGCGGTCTTGGGAGTATCGGAGAGGAAATGCTCCAAACACACGCACCCATTGGCCTCGCACTCCCCCTTCCTTGCCGTCGGGCAGCTCCCCGCTGCCAGGAAGAGGTAGGTATGGCTAAGTATCCAATTCTGCAATTGCACAGCCGTTTCTCTGTACTCTGCCATGACGCCGGACCACCTACCGCAGCTCATACCCAGATCCCTCAACATCAAGTTCATTGCATGTTTTATCTGCCCTCATGTATCTTTGCCGTTGCTCATACCAAGTGTCAGCTACTTTTGTCCGTCTCGGCTCTCGCGCTCCTCGTCACTGTTGCAATCGTACTCAGTATTGGTTTGCCGTAGCTGGTGATGTGTTCGTTGCCGACATCTGGTTTCCATCGAAAGCTACCGTAATTGGCTTCAACCAGTGCTTAGAGCAGGACAATACAGGTCAAGCAGAAATACGAGAAAAAGATTTTGCTCTCATCGACCCGCCAAACATTTGGCATCAAAAGCCAAAAAGTAAATCAGGCAAACTATGGCTACCAACCCGAATCAAGCATCAAGCACCGGCCAGCAGTTGTCGTTCGATCCCGTCGCCTTGCTTTGCCCAAGCTCTTTCTTTATCCCCCTCTTGGTCCTTGTGTGGGAAGCTTACCTTGAGGCATTTGAGCTTAACCTTGTCGGACTCTTTCCCTCACCCAACCTTGACCATGCCTCCCACACCAACACCAATACTACAACGAGGAACGACGACATCAACAACAACAACAACAACAATAGGAGCAGCTGCTTCTGACCGGCATCTGGTCTCTGCCTATTGCCTTGCACACGCCATATGGCAGAATTTGGTCCTCGGCATGATGTGCTCATGGTATTGCCGACTTACAGCAGAACGGGTAGCTCATGCCAAGCATCTACGGATAGCAATATCAGCACCGGCACAGATGCCAAGCCAGAGATGCCTATGGACGAGATAGCATCACAAGGTGCTGTAGAGTGGCAGACAGACGAAGAAGTTGGAAGAGCCACAGCAATATCACGCCCAGAGGTACCGTACGGGTAGAAAGAGCGCAGCAGGTCTTGGCACGCTTGGTCGATTCGACTCAGTCGACTCAAGTCCAGTCCAGTCGAGTCCTGGTGCCATCTATGTCGCCCATCTTGTTCATCCACCATCAGTCACCCCACCCATTGGTCCTGACAAGTGCCCATCTCAAGGCTGTGCTGCATAGACATCCGTAGGTTGGTATCCTAGGAGAAGTAGGGAACAGAAAGGGGGAAGGTAGTGAGTGAGTGAGTGAGTGAGCACTGATGAGCAGCAACAGCAGCAAGAGTACCAGGGGAAAAGTCTATGCTCTCTTGCACACTTTGTGTCTTCCACACCATGGATGGCGCTGGCATTAACTGGTATTGGCATTGGCGCAGGTACGGGTGATGGTACTCACAGCTGTACCTCTCTGTCTTTCTCTCTCTCACTCTCTCTCTTTCTCTCGCTGTCTCTCTACCTAGTCTTGGTCGGATACGATACCTACCCTGCTTTTACCTGGCCCTGCCGACTTGATCCCCGCTGGAACTTGGTAGAGGTATTTCCCTTCTGCTTTTTTTGATCGCCGAGCGTTTCCCCCAGCATTCTGGCACGTCCTTTTTTCTCTCCAGGTCCACCACCATCACCCACCACCCATCCAAGGCATGGTATGTACTTTGTACACTACGCACACACACATACGGATACACACACGCACACTCACACACCAAATATTCTCTCTCTCTCTCTCTCTCTCTCTGTGTGTGTCGTTCTTCTCTTTTTCTGCCCGCCCATCTCTTACTTACTCCTCCTTCCATTGCCCACCGTCTTCTTTCTCATACGGATGGATACCCAAGGCACTCCTCCCGCTGCACTGTTGTTTCTCTCTCACTCTCTTCCCTTTCTCTCACTCTTACTCTCTAACATCGCACTCCCTCCCTCTTTCTCCCCGTCTCTCCCACACGCCCTCCCCCTGCCTCTAATCCATACTCCTCTTGTACCCCATCTCTTTCTATCTCCCACCTCTCACTCATCACACCCCATACCCTTCTTAGCTCGACCCCCCCCCCCGGTATCCTGTGAGCTGGGTTGTGTGTCTTTGCGTCCTCTACGGATACACAGTTACCAGTAGTCCCAATCCTAGTCCAAGTCCCACCACCGCCGCCGCCGCCGTCTTTCCCTCCGCCTTGTCCTGTCTGCCTCCACACCCACCGGCTCTGCTTTGGAGGAAAAAGGGTACTGACTCTTTGGCTCTGTTTCTGGGCTCTGGCTCCCGCACCTGTGTTCTATCTACCCGTACCTCTTGTTGATGCGACTGATCTCTCTCTCTCTCTTTCTCGCAAATGCTTGTCGCTTTCCACCTCGTCCGTCCCGTCGTCACTCGTCACTCTGGCCCTCCTTGACCTTGACCTTGACCTTCTCCCCTCCACCTCCTCCACCTCCACCTCCTCTAAGGATACATCCTGTGCTGCCGCTACCGCCGACGCCGCTCTGCCCTCTGCCCCGTCCGCCTTGTCTTTCTTGGCTCTCGACGTACATGGTAGAGCTTCATCTGCTACCCTTGCTCGGCTTCAAACAGCTTCCTGATCTCCTCGACCGCGGCACCTTGCCTGGCCCTACGTCGGCATCCCGCCTTGAGCCCTGGGTCCGATCTGCCCTGTCTATTGTCTTAACCCAGGCCTGCCTGTACTATCCTGGTTCTCTGAGCTCGAGGCACCTCCATCTTGTTCTCGGCTGCCCTGGGCGCGCGCGCGCTCTCTCTCACCACACTCCTCCCCTGATTGCACTGCAAAGAAAGAGTACATGGACATATTATTTCATCCAGTCTCCCGATCTTCACGCGCAATTACCAGTTTTACCGTCGGGCACCGACATTCATATAAGTCCTCGGCGACATCCAGTCTGCAGACCACTTCATCTACTTCTTGCTGCAGTCCCTAGCATCCGAAGCTCAGGATACCAGGAGTTCGAGGCCCAACCGCTCGGTTCAAGAAATCAAAAACCTCCGAGGCCCTCCCTCCTGTTTACTCCCTTCCCGACATCTAAGATCTCAGGGTCCGTTCCACCCACTGCAGCAAAACCAAAGCAAACCAAAGCACGGCACAGCACAACAGTACATCACACCGCATACATCAACTACCACCCACGCTCATTCCCTTACAACAAGAAGCTCGCCAGCTAGCTGCTCCTCCGCACCCACCTACCTTTAACTCTCATCACTCCTTCTCTTCCCAGTGAGAAGGGCGAGCCTCTTTTCTTCTTTCTCTCTCTCACTCTCTCACTCTCTCACTCTCACCATCATCCTCCTTCGGAACCTGGACATCCACCAGTTCACCGCAAGCCGCCCGACAGGACAGAGAGAAACCTAGACCGCGCAGCTAATACGCCGCCAACATTCAACCGTGCTGCGCTTGACAAACCTTAAAACACTGGACCTCACCATCAACCTCCGGTTCCTGACCCACGCAAGCCACAAGCCATAGACATACACGAACATCTATCCCGTTGCCTGCTGCTTCTGGCCGTACACATTCCGCCCTCAAGCTCCTCCTCCTCTTACTTGGGCCAGTCCAAAACTGCATACTCTCTCCGATCAGAGGCGTTGAGCCCGTCGCGCCATCCCACACCCAAGCTTCACGCGTCAGGTGACGGTAACCTTGAGTCTTCCAACACAGCTCCTGTTCTCAGTGGCTGAACCAGAAGACGGAAAGGTGAGCAAGGAGGCGCTCGGAAGCATACAGTCTCGCGACCTGGATACTACGATAAGCGCAGGGCGAACCACGGTCCCGCGTCTTGCTGCAGATTCAGAGCTCCACACACGTACCGTGTAGTACCTTACCTTACCTTACCCTCCTGCTCATTATATTCCCCTCCCTCTTCTCTCCTTCGCAGAAACGCTTTGGAAACTTAGCTTTAACAAGTCTTAATCTTCTTGTCGCCGTTGAAAGACTTTCTTTCCTCCTCCTTCCATCGGCGTTTCTTTTGTCTACGTCCTCCTCTTTCTATCCTCGCGCGTCTTAGTCTCAGCATTACGCTCAACTGCGCGGCTTCATCACTGTTCTCACGAGCACTCGCTAGTCAAGTCAGCAGGGCTAGCTTCGCTTCCCTCCTCCTTCCCATCATCGTCACCATCATCTGGGAGGACTGAACCTTTCACACTCTATTTGATATTTCCTTTCCAACGCATACACGTACTGCCGGTAAGTGGCGCAACTCTACGATCGCTACCGCAAACGTTCAACGTAACTTACATGATTAGACTCGGCGCAACCGGAAGCCAAAATGGCGAATTCCAACGTCCCATTAAACCCAACCTTCATCGGCCACGTCGCTTCCACCCTCGACGCTCTGGTTCTCTTTGAAGCATGTCTGAGCAGTGCACTACACCATGTCCCCCGCAGACCACACGACCGCGAACGCCAGGATCTCATCAAGAGCGGCAATGTCTTCATCTACGAGGAGCACTCGTCCGGCATCAAGCGCTGGACTGACGGAGTTGCTTGGAGTCCCAGTCGTATCCTCGGCAACTTCCTCATCTACCGCGAACTCGACCGGCCTTTCCCGCCAGGCGAAAAGAAGCGCGCCATGAAACGTAACAAGAAACCCACAGGTGTAACGAAGCCCGAGGTCGCGCGCCAAGGCAGCGTCAACGGAGCTGCGTCTACCATGGGCATGGGAGATGGCTCGCAAGGCGGCAACAAGGACGCGGAGCGAGCATTGATTGGATCCCTAGTCGACTCGTATCCCTTCAAGGAAAACGGTCTGGTGAAGAAGACGATCAGCGTGACCTACCAGGGCGTGCCGCACCACCTGGTGTCCTATTACAACGTCGAAGATGTCACAGAGGGCAAGCTGATGACCCCTTCCAAAGATCACCAGCTCTCTACCATTATTCCTAGAGGGGAGTTGATCATGTCGCAAAATTTCCGCGCCCCAATTGACGAGGTCGAGATGGACGACTCCCGAGGAGGCCACGGACTTTTCGCGCAACACTATCCCGTTAACGGCCACCACCAGAGCCTGTCACGAGCAATGTCGGTGCCTTCGCTACACATGAGCGGAATGCCTGCGGCGCAGTTCGGCCATCCACCGTACATGTCGTACATGAATCCAGTCCCCGGGTCCGTCAGCAACGTTGGCTATGCGCAGCCTCAACACCCAAATTACGCATATGACAGCATGAGCCGTGCAGGCCGGTATCCGTCAAGTGCTGGCTTGGCTCCCGACATGTCTCGAAACATGGCACTCGAGTCACAGCATCATCCTCGACGACACTCAACAGCTTACGAGCCCGTCACGGGCCCCGAAATGGGTCTTGCTAGCAGCTTGCCAGCCGTATCAAGCGACCCGTCAAGGTCCATGGGCGGAGGCAACTACATGACATCCATGTTGTATTCCCAACAACGCCCTCACGACATGTCTCCTCACGAGCCCTTCCCCTCGCCGTCTCCCCGCCACGTGCACAACGAATCCGGGATGGGCGGCGACAGAAGCGCCCCGGGCTTCCCCATCGAAGGGCTCAATCGCGATACGTGGAACACGTTTGACCAGATAGCCGAGGACGACCAAGGTCAATACATGCCGCAAGGGAGTGCAGGCTGGCCGAATAGCAACAACAACAACTCGCTTGGTAGGACCTGAAGAGAAGTAGGATTAGAGTCGTTTGCACGTCTCGACTACCGGACTTGTCCAACATGATGCCGTTGGACATAGAACCAGGACCCAACATTGGTTGGATCGGATCACCAGAGAGGATTGCCCTTGAACGACAGTGTGGAAAATGTTGCGGGGTCATCGATCCTTCAGGTTACAGAGGGAGACTCTGAATTCTGGCGCCAAGGTGCTTGGGTAGCGCGGCGCCGAGGTTGCGGTTTGCGATGAAGTTTTTTGATCCGGAAGAAAACAGGTGCGCAAAGCCGAGCGCAACCTACGATCCAGGAGTATGTGAGGCATACTGAACAGGGAAAAGGGGGTTTCTTGGGACTACCAAAAAGTTTACCTGTACGGCAGTTACAGTCTGCAGACACGCATGTTGTACTCAACGCAACGAATCATCATGCGATGTGATCGTTTGTCTAGGTAGTAGGGTATGCGTGGTCTGTAGTGCTCCATTCGATGAGAGTGAATACTTAGACAGAGTGGCTCTTTGCTACATTACACTTCAACATACCTTACCTTGTTTAAGGACAATTGAAAAATTCAGTCAACTATGCGGCAAAGAAGAATATGCTAGTGGCAGAGGGTTCCTGCTCGTGATATACTTGGGACACGGGCCAATGGTGAATCACGCTTACCAAACGACGAAAACCAAAGGTACCTACATTAAGTACGGAGTAAGGTACCTCCTTTAGTAAGGTACCTACCTAAGTTAAGCTTCCCGTCCATTGAGGAAAGAGCTCTGCGCGCACAGCAAGGGGGGGTAGCTCCCGACGTCTGCCACCCGCACGTGAGCTCGTGATCGTCACTCATCTAATTGATCGCACGAAAACTAAGTGAAGTTCAACTGCGGTCTACGTCGGGGCTCCAGAACATAGACATGCCGTTCGTCAGGCTCAGTGGTCGCAGGGCTTTGTCTCTGGCGCAGTGCGGTCGTGTGCAAAACAGCGTCTGTCCTAGCAGTAGCAATCGCCTTCTCCATGCGTTGCCGTCACCAGCACGACATCGGCCGTCCTTGAAGCTCACTGCCAGTGCCATCCTCAATCACCCACCTCAGCTTCAATCGCGGCCCCGGCTCGTCGCTCCCTACGTATCGCAGAGCGATGGTAAACCGCCCAGGTCTGTCTCCTTCTTTCCCCCGGCCAAGGTCCCTCTTCTCCAATGCCCAGGCTGACGTGTGAGATTGCTACAGCACGGCAAGCAAGATCGTCGCGAAGCTGCCCACGATACCACCGACCCTGCGCGAAGACATCCGTACCCTCCCGAACCTGCTGACGCTCTCGCGCCTCGTGGCCGCGCCGTTTGTGGGCTATTTTATCCTCCACGACCAACATGCCTGGGCCTTGGGCTTGTTCGCGTACGCCGGTGTGACGGATTTGCTGGACGGGTGGATCGCGAGGCGATGGAAGCAGCAGACCGTTGTCGGGACTGTGATTGATCCGATGGCAGACAAGGCGTTGATGACAATCCTCACTGTGTGCCTCGCCGCTCAGGGTTCTCTCCCGGGTAGGTCCTTTTCTTTGCTGGCTTTTGGCCCCCTCCATCTCCGTCTGTCAACGGAGAAGACCCCCAGGGATCGAATAAGGTGATGGGAGGTGGCGCGGAGGGAGCTTCGAATACCTTGCCGACACTCCCGTCAACCTGAGGAAGTAATTTAGACTGACGATTATCTGCGCCTGACAGTGTGGCTCGCAACAATCATCCTAGGCCGCGACGTGGGCCTCGCCATCTCCGCCATCTACTACCGCTGGATCTCCCTCCCACCGCCAAAGACCTTTGCGCGGTACTGGGACTTTTCCTTGCCCTCGGCCGAAGTACACCCCACGACCATCAGCAAGTACAACACGTTCCTCCAGCTCGTCCTCATCGGCCTGACGACGGCCGCGCCGGTGTTCAGCTATGACCTGTCGACGCCCTTGACAGTCATGCAGTACGTTGACTCCTTCCCCCCTTGCCGGTGCTAGGCTTCCTCGTGAAATTGCAGAAGATGAGGCGGGGTTTCCTTTTTTTGGGGGGTTTTTTTTTGTGGTTTGTAGATTCTTCCGTTGTGCTGACTGGAGTCTAGATATGTTGTCGCCACCACCACGATTTGGAGCGGCGCCAGCTACATTTACACCAAGGATGCGGTCAAGATTCTTGCACCGCCGAAGACCCCGCCTCCAAAGGTATAAAGCAACATGACCGCAGCCTCGTGGGGAGTAAAAATGCAGTTCATCCATCAGGTGCGGTCCATCAGTGTACGTAACAAAACATGTGTAAAAGGGGCGTTACGGAAGGTGGGCAAAACTTTGTAAAATTAAATGTACACGCACAAAGGGAGCAAGAAACCTTGGTCCCCAGTCGGCAGCTATGGTATTGGTACAAGCATAAAGGCTACGCCTCTCTGGCCTTCTCCAGCTCTACATCAGTCGGCAAGCCCTTCTTTCTAGGTATTCTGCGTAGTCGTTGCGTTACGGCATGTCCTTCTCCCGGCTCTTCTGCCTCTCCCGCCACGGCTTCTCCATGTTGGCTAGGGCAATGCTCTTCTGCTGGCGTTGCACGTAGCCCAGCAGGCGGAGGCATCCAGACGGCGTGATGCCCTCCAACCGCCTCGCCTGCGCTAGAGTCTCGGGCATGGTGGCTTTGAGAACCGTCTTCTCAGCCATGGCCAGGCCAGGGACCTTGTCGTAGTCGATCGAATCGGGCAGCCTCAGACTTTCATCCCTGGTAAAGACCTTGCGCTCGGCGAGCTGTCGCTTGATGAATGGTGCGTACGTCGCCTCGATGTGAATGCGAGACTTGAGACGCTCCGGAACGGAGTGGGTACCTGGTACCGCGGCAGCGACCTGGTCCCAGGTTACGTCCTTTAGTCGGAGCATATCCATTGCGTTGCGCCGGGTCGTGTCTTCTTTTACGCGGAAACCGCGTTTGGACCATTCAGGTGTGCTCTTGCTCGTCGAGGAGAGGAGTGACATGATGTCATCCATCTGCTGCTTCTCATCGCTGAAGTGCGTCCACCGCTTGTCCGACACGACGCCCCAGTCCCGTCCTTTCTCGGTCAGTCGAAGGTCGGCGTTATCCGCTCTCGACGTCAGTCTGTATTCGCTTCGTGTTGTGAACATTCTATACGGTTCAGTGACGCCCTTGGTAATGAGGTCATCAATCATGATGCCGATGTAGCCGTCTGCTCGGGATATCGGGGCTGCTTCGAGGCCCAACGCGGAGCGACCTGCGTTCATGCCGGCAACAACGCCCTGCCCGGCCGCCTCTTCATAGCCCGTGGTACCGTTGATCTGTCCAGCGAGGAACAGGCCGCTAATTTGCTTCGTTTCGAGCGTCGCCTTGAGACTCCGAGGGTCTATGTAGTCGTACTCGACACCGTATCCCACTTGTGTCATGACGCACTTCTCCAGGCCTGGAATCGAGCGCAGAATCTGTCCCTGAGCCTCTTCCGGTACGGTCATGGACAAGCCGTTGGGATATATGAGGTCGCTGTCGAAACCTTCGGGCTCCAGCCAGACAAGATGCTTGTCTTTGTCAGAGAACCGGGTGATTTTCGCCTCTAGCGAGGGGCAATATCTCGGGCCCCTGATGGTTTCTCGGATGTGTATCGTCTTATCCAGGTTGGCCCTTACAATGTCATGCGTCGCCTCATTCGTATAAGTGACCCAGCAGGACAATTGCTCCTCCACGGCCACTCTATCGTTCAGGAAGCTGAACGGCATCGGCGGGTCGTCTCCGGGCTGCCTCTCCAGCTGCGAAAAGTCAATGCTGTCTTTGGCGATACGCGGCGGCGTTCCTGTCTTGAGCCTTCCTAGGCGAAAACCACTGTCATTCAACGACTTGCTTAAGCCAAAAGATGCATCTTCTCCTATCCGTCCCGCGGGATACGCTTTCATGCCGATATGTATCTCGGCGCTCAGAAACGTGCCCGTCGTAATGATTACTGCGCGTGTAGGGAGAACCTCGCCAGACTCAAGACGCACTCCTGTAATCTTTCTCTGGACGGTACTCGTGGCGTCTGCGCTCTCACTCGTGACGATATCGGATACACTACCTAGCACGATGGACAGGTTTGGGTACGTTTCCAGCTCTTCTCTCATGTGCTTCTGGTATAGTTTTCGATCAATCTGCGCTCGGGGTCCCTGTAAAAATTGACGGGTTAGCGACTACAAAGATTCCTCCGAGAAATTGAACTCTGCATGGAGCTTACATACCCAAACAGCCGGCCCCTTGGTCCGATTCAAGACCCTGAACTGCACGCCAGCCTTGTCGATGACCCTGCCTGCCAACCCGTCAAGAGCATCGATTTCGCGAAGTATGATCCCCTTGCCGATGCCGCCAAAAGATGGATTGCAGGAGCAGGTGCCGAGGTTCTCGATCTTCGGTGTGACCAAAGCTGTTCGCGCGCCGGTTCTGGCAGCCGCTGCGCATGCTTCTGCGCCCGCGTGGCCGCCTCCCACTACAACGACATCGAATGGTCTGGAACGTTCGTAAGCTATGTGCGACTGGCGCGCGAGAGGTGTATGTTCTCGGTATGCTGCAGACTGACCTGGTGCCTTCTGCGACGTCTGCGAAGCCGCGCCTACCGAGCTGTCGCAAGCTTCTGGCAGCAGGACGTGGGCGCAGCTTCAAGGCTGCTGAAAGGGATCGCATCGCCTATGTTAACGGGCTAAGAGACTACATGCGCTCCAGCAGATGAAAATGCGACTGACAAGCTCGTGCCCTGGGAACTAGAAGCGAGTTTGAAGGCTGAAGTTCTCCTAGTTTGTATCCAGAGTTCCTCTGCGCCATTGCTCCCCCATTGATTTTTTTGGCCCCTTGGTGCCACAGTGTAGTGACATGATCGGTGCACGGCGGTTACAAACACCGACTGCAGGGGGGTACTTTAGTTGTAGCTTCTTCAATTGACCAACGGGCTATCGTCGCCAATGAGCATCTTCTAAGGAGTGCTATGAGCCTCTCAACAAACTCATCGCTACCTTATTCCGTATATCACATGAAACTATGAACAATAATATCGCACCAAATAAACATTGCTTACTTTCTCGTCCAATCTTAGAAAGCATAATGGCTGAGCGTTTATTTATTTTATATTTCTACCTTTACTAGCTACTCGGGCGGTTCTCAATATCGGTTAAATAATATTAATATATAATATTAATAAATACTCCTACTATCTTATTAAACTATTTTTTATAATTTTTTTTTATCTTTTTTAATTTTCCCTCTTATAAAGTTTATAACTACGGATTAATAATAATATTAAGTATATAATTATTTCATAAGCTTATTTATACTTAGTTAAGTTCATGGCCTTTTTAAATAATAATAGCTTATAATAATAATATAATAATAATATTAAAAATACCCTCGTTATTATTATTAAGAATAATACTAATTATTAATATTTAGTATACGTTAACTTATACTTATACTATATATTTATTATCTCGTTTTTTATTACTATTATTATATTATTATTATTATTATTATTATTATTATATTATTATTATTATTATATTATTATTATTATTATTATTATTATTATTATTATTATTGAACTATTTATTTTAAGAATATAATATTAAAATACTAACTTATTGACTTATAAAGCTATTTTAAAGCGTATATTTAATAATTTAATCTTATTAATATTATACTTAACGATCTTAATTTATAAAAATTATTTAAAAAGTATAAGTTAGTTATTATTAATTTAAAAATCCGAAACGTAAATACTTTTATAATTATTATTATTATTAATACTAAATTTATATAATATAACCTTAGTTAAATACTTAATTAATTTTAATATATAATTAATACCCTAGTATTATAATAATAAAATAAGAGATTTAGGAAAACTAAAAAGAGAAATTTAGAGTTATTAGAAAGGTTAGAAAATAAAAGGTGGTTTTCAGCGATTTAGAAGGCGATTAATATATTACAGCGGGATTATTAGTATCTTAGATTACGGCCGGCTATTATTAGTTGTGAAGTTTGTTAAGTAATATACGTAATAAAAACTCGATATTGACCCTCGTAGACCAGCTTGCCCGTAGGGCGAAGATGGCCCCCAATGAGGCGGGCCGACCCCAAAGGGGGCTGAGCGTTTATATCTGCTGGGGAATAGCATATTTGATGGTCGCAGCCAAGACTCCCAGTGATAAGTCATGTCCCTAATCCTCCTCCGTCTTCGTCTTTCCTTGCGCCATACGAGTACGTCACAGAGGGGCTTGTGGTCCTTTCTCCCGCACTCTGCCAAATTGCAAATAGAGTACAGACATTCATTCCACGCACAATTAGCCTAGTTGAAGAGCATCTTGGCGCACAACAAATTGATGCCCGGTGACCTTGTGTGTTGCTTGCGAAAGGGCCTATGAGTACATGCAGACATGAGAATTGCCGATGGTCACTGAGATCTCGAATGTCCCAAATCGACTGCTCTCCGTCTATCGCCTTGTGCCAGGTTTCTGCGTCTCGGGCCACGAAGATACAGCATCATCTACCTCTTCCAAGAAGGTAGCCGAGTTGTGGACTGTAGTGCCTCCTAGTACCAAGCGCACACCTGGCGAAGATGCGTTGATTGTCGCCACCATCTTGGCCTCCTCGTACGTTGCCCCACCGACTATGAAGACAATAACGTCTTGCGGCTTGTCTCGAGTAGTTCCTCCGCCCTCAACAAAGGGATACTGCTGTTCTTTAAGTCGTCCCCGAATCAGATTCTGAAGCGTACTTTCAAGTAAGGGGCTATGCTGTGTGTAAACGTTCTCGACGCCCTTTAGCCCCTTAAACCTGGCACCAGCTCCTCCAAATATGCCACCCCCCTCGAAAATGTCTGCAATGCCTGCTTGAGCCTGTGATTGCTGCAATGAAGATTGATACTTCACAAGCTTGGAGATGAGGTCTGCTCGCCGGACTGAGACCCCGCCAGCGGCCACCAAGAGGTCCACGAGCATGGGAAGTGCGTTGGACGGATTGCGCTCATATCGTAGAGCATAAAGGGCGACTAGGCCAACCTTGCTGTCGCTTGTCACCTTTGGAGACTGGATAAGCTTTTGAATATTCTGTTGGAAGAGTCAGCTTCTGGTATCTGCGCTGGGAAGCCGTACTATGATTGTCGGATAATACCTTGAGATCAGCCGCATGGTTGTCGTTGCAAGCGAGACTTTGTTCCAGCTCACTGACTTCGAGTAGGTTCTCGGCTCCAACACGTCTACTCAACTCTGAAACCAAGGTGACGTGCTTGCTAACATTTCCAGATAGCTTGCGGAACTCAGGGTATTCCTCAATGAAGCGCTTCATGTCCGATATTGACTCAATATTTGAGCTGTTTT